CAAAAATTGTTTCGAACGGAAACTAAAATACCTACATATTGCTGGATCATTGTTTATTACGTGAATACGCGAACAGATGGTTCTATCGCACTGCAACTGAAACGAACACGATTCAAATTTTCAGCGAAAAACAATGCGTTTGTTTTATGGTAAAAATTTGTTAGCCATACTGCAGATGCTCCCTTTATGATTCAACTTCGTTTGCGTAAATTCTAGCTATTCGCTGCTTCCAATTTTGCTGCGATACCTGCAAGGGCAATTTAAATTTTCCTATTTTCAAGATTGCTTTTTAATTCATTTGGGGTGCGTGGGATTTAATCATTTTTAGCAATGTAGATTTTTTCATTTGTCAAATTTCGAGCTGCGGGATTTGTGAAAATGAACTTCGAATTTATAGGTTTGATGAATTTGCAGATTTTCAAGTTTTTAGAATATTATTGGTTTAGAGATAAAGAAATTGAAATATTTCACTTACCGTATTGTTTCTTCATTTTTTCAAATTCACTAGTTATTAGGATACGAATTTAATATTTTTATTATATATCTTATAGTTTTGACAATCTTTTATTTAATAAAATTATTGAGCAGTATAAAAGTTTATACACTTGTATTTTTTTGAGATAAATAACAAATATAAAATAATAATTTAAACTTCATAACACAATTTGGGAATTGGGGAAATTTGGAGAATTTGGGGAATTTGGGGAATTTGAGGAATTTAGAGAATTTGGAGAATCTGGGAAAATTTGAGAATTTTGGGAATCTTAGAAATTTGAAGAATTTGTGAAATTCGGGGAATTTAGGGAATTTGAAGAATCTAGGTAATCTGGAGAATTTAGGGAATTTTTAGAATTTTGGGAATCTTAGAAATTTAGGGAATTTAGGGAAATTGGGGAATTTAAGTAATCTAGGGAATCTGAAGCATTTGGGAATTTGGAAACTTGGAGAATCCAGGGAATTTGAAGAATCTGGGGAATCTTTAGAATTTTGGGAACCGTGGAAATCTGAGGAATCTTGAGAATTTTGGGAACCGTGAAAATCTGGGGAATCTTGAGAATTTTGGGAACCGTGGAAATCTGGGGAATCTTGAGAATTTTGGGAACCGTGGAAATCTGGGGAATTTGAAGAATTTGGGGAATCTTGAGAATTTCGGGAACCGTCGAAATCTGGGGAATTTTCAGAATTTTGGGAACCGTGGAAATCTGGGGAATTTAGGGAATTTGAAGAATCTAGGTAATGTGGAGAATCTGGAAAAATTTTGAGCGATTGGTGAATCTTAGGAATCTAGGGAATTTGGGGAAATTGGAGACTTTGGGAATTTTGGGAAATTGGAGACTGGAAATTTTGAGAATTTGAGGCATTGAGAGAATTTGGGGAATTTGGAGAATCTAGGAAATCTTGAGAACCTGCGGAATTTTGAGAATTTTGGAAATCTTAAAAATCTGAGGAATTTTGAAATTTGGAAACTTTGAGAATCTTAGGAATTTGAGAATATTAGAATTTGAGAATCTAGTAATTTATCTAATTAAAAAATTTGAGAACTGGGCTTCTCAACAAAATTCACAACTAAAAATAAAGAATCCAACACCCCCATTTCAACGACTTATCTACAAAAAAAACAGTGTACTTATTTCACCCTCTAAGTTCAACTTTCCACCTCGAAAAGTTTAGTGACGCAATTTTAAAGGGAAAGAGGTACTACTAGGAAGTCATCTGAAAATGGCAGAAGTGCCCATCGAAATGTTCGTCATTATTCTTCCTAGTATTTATGGTAGCATGGTCAACCTTCTCTCTCTGTGACTTACTATGTTCTTTCTCCTTGATATACAGGGTGATTCTGGGAACTGTAACCGGCTATACCTCTTCCCTGCCTGAACTTACAAGAAATTATTACGGTAGAGGAAAATGCAGTATAATTTAACGAAATTTATATTTTCCTTACCATGTTTCTTCTGTAAGAGCGGTAAAAAGAAGCCGTCAACTAACTTACCAACATTTTCCATTATCGAGATTTCTTGTTTTCGGTCCGCGGATGAATTATGAGCTTTTTCGATGTCGTTTCAAATAAAAAAAAATGAGGGAAGTAAATAAAAATCTTTTATAGAAATTATATAATTTTTATGATTTCTTAATAGATATTTATTTTGTTAATTTTATCAAATTATAATAATTCTTGTTAATTTAATTTAATAAAATTTTATTTGGGTTAGTGTCATTTCACAATTTATGTAAGTAGTCATTTAACAATATATTTATTTTGTAGCATTTTGTAATTTAATTAATTTATTAGTTTATTCATTTATTTAAGAATTTATTATAAATGTACTAATTTGTAAAAGAATTTATTCAAAGAAGAATTTTTCAGTTGCAAAAAAAGTTTTTAAAATCATTTTGTAATTTAATTAATTTATTAGTTTATTCATTTATTTAAGAATTTATCATAAATGTACTAATTTGTAAAAGAATTTATTCAAAAAAAAATTTGTCAGTTGCAATAAAAGTTTTTAAAATCATTTTGTAATTTAATTAATTTATTAATTTATTAATTTCTTTAACAATTTATTATAAATGTACTAATTTGACAAAGAATTTATTCAAAAAAAAATTTGTCAGTTGCAATAAAAGTTTTTAAAATCATTTTGTAATTTAATTAATTTATTTAAGAATTTATTATAAATGTACTAATTTGTAAAAGAATTTATTTAAAGAAAAATTTTTCAGTTGCAATAAAAGTTTTTAAAATCATTTTGTAATTTAATTAATTTATTTAAGAATTTATTATAAATGTACTGATTTGTAAAAGAATTTATTAAAAAAAAATTTGTCAGTTGCAATAAAAGTTTCTCAAAATAACCTCAAAAAATAAAATGTATAAAAACAATAAATTTTCAAAACTTAAATTTGCCTCTAAATTTTATATTAAACCAGAAAAAAAGTATCTCATTTTACCAATTTCTGCGATATATGAGTCTACGATATTCGAGTATGGGTTGATATTAATCAACCCTTATATAAATTTCACGAGGGGTCAGGTTTGACCCTCGGGTCAGAAATCGATTTAGCACGTAGGACGATTTAGGTGATGGGATCGGAAATAAAGTCAGCGCTCGGCTACAAATCCATGACTCGTTTATTAAGAAATACTGTATTGTTCCGACAATCGCGAAATGATGATGGTACGAATATAATGGCTATGAAACGCTTCGACATAGTCGTCGACGATTAATCGAAGCCGCGCGACGGTCACCGAAGAGTATTTCCGGTTCACGGGATCGATCGTAGATCGCAAATTCGCTCTTGTACTTACCATCTTTTTTTTTTCATTTACATCGTTGCTCTCGTGTACCGATCTAAGAACACCTCACGATCTTTCACTCATCGATTTCGTTCAAACTTCTCACAATCATAAAATACATACTAAACTACAATTTTGCAAACTTACAGCGCGCAACTCTTATTAATAAAGCAGAAATTTAAGTTTGGAGTTCATAATATGCAACTTCATATAAGGTTTATTAAGAAGTATTTTATTAAATTGATACCAGAATAAAATTTTACTTTCTTAACTAAATTAAATTAAAATTGCCTTTTAACACTGATAGAAATTTCAATTTTTTGTTAATATTTCATAAATTTCCTACATTTATTTTCTCAAGCAACAATTAGAAAAATATTTAAAGTATTAAATCCTTTGTGTTTCATTAATATTGAAATAATAAAAAAAAATTTGAAAAATTAGCTTTCATTTAATTTTCATTTCATCACATCACACTATTCTCTACAAATCAAACATAAAATATTTGAAATGTAAATTATTTCCAAGTTTCCTCAGAGTTGCACTCTAAAATTTTACAAAATGACTATTTCGAATGTATTTTACAATTGTACGAAGTTTGAAAAAAATCGGTGATGCCGAAGTCGTGAGGTCCTCTTGTAAGCACGTAGAACGCCGCTGTAAATATTCTCCTCGTATTAAAGACAACGTACACCGAACGTTTAAGAGAAGCAAGTACAACATCAAGGACTTTTTTTTACTTTTGTGTTTTGTTATACCGATCTCCATTTCACTCGACACTGCTTCATTAAACGCTGTTTGAGGTTTCTGGGTGTAAATCGTGTTTAGAAGGACTCACTATCAAAAATTGCATTCGTATTAAAGTTCTTCAAGGTATCAGTGAAGAGGAGAGATTGAGGTTTGAAGTTTAAGGGATGGGAACACTGATCTAGGGGAATTTTTTTTAATTTTAGAGTGCTGAAAATGGTAAAATTTCAGAATTTTGGGATTTTGGAAATTTGGAATTGAAGAATTGAAGAATTGAATAATTGAAAAATTGAAAAATTGAAAAATTGAAGAATTGAAGAATTGTGGAATTGAAGAATTGAAGAATTGAAGAATGGAATAATTGAATAATTGAAGAATTGAAGAATTGAAGAATTGAAGATTTGAAGAATTGAAGAACTGATGAATTGAAGAATTGAAAAATTGAAGAATTGGAGAATTGAAGAATTGAAGAATTGGAAAATTAGGAAATTAGAAAATTGGGAAACTATGTAATTGGTAAATTAAGAAATTAGAAAATCAGCAAATTAGGAAATTAGAAAAATGGGAAACTAGGAAATTAGGAAACTAGGGAATTAGGAAATTCGAAAATTGGGAAACTAGGGAATTAGGAAACTAGGAAATTGGGAAATTGGGAAATTGGGAAATTGGGAAACTGGGAAATTAGAATACCAGGAGATTGGGAAATTGGGAAGTTGGGAAATCAGAGAATTAGGAAATTGGAAAATTGGGAAACTAGGCAATTAGGAAATTAGGAAATTAGGAAATTGGGAAATTGGGAAACGGGGAAATTGGGAAATTAGGATACCAGGAGATTGGGAAATTGGGAAGTTGGGAAATCAGAGAATTAGGAAATTGGAAAATTGGGAAACTAGGCAATTAGGAAATTAGGAAATTAGGAAATTAGGAAATTAGCAAACTGGGAAACTTGGAACTTTGGGAATTTGAAAACTAGTGAAAACATTCCCAAAATTTATGAATGCAAAAAATACTAATAAAAATTTCTCAAACTCCGAATTAAGTTTCTACTAACGTTTCACATCAACCCCAAAACCCCAGGCCCCACAAAACCTTGATCCGTCCCTGTCACCCCACATCACCACCCTCCCCTCACCCCGAAGAACTTTTCCAATGTCGACAAACCCTCCGGGTCTAATTACCATCGCTCCCATAATTTACACCCAAAATCTTCAAAACAGCACCGTACGCCAAACCAAACGATGAAAGCCTCAGCTCTCCCTCTCGCTTCGCGATCCCGTCAGCCATCTTGTCAGCAACAGCTCGCCTTCATAAGCATACTCGAAAGTTTGCGAGTCAAGGTAAGAACACATCATCATCGCGTCGCGTGAAACCGCGAACAACACATATATAAAAGAAAATATGTATATTTTGATATTCAGCATGTCACACGATATCGAATCACATTTCACCTCCACGTGACATCAACGTTGCTGCCGTGAGGCTGGAATCGCGACAGAGAGAAGAAGACGCGTGGACAAAGAGACAGACACAGAGACAAAGTTATGGTTGCTGTCCTCCTACGCTCTGCGGATCTTTGAACGGCCGGAAGCTCGCTCGCGAGGCTGTTACAGAAGTGCACGCTCGCGGCGTACTTTACGATCCATAACTGTCCGCCCAGAGAACCTCGGAGTAAGCTTCGAGTCGCGTGCCATCGGTATCCTCGATCGAATTCACTGAGAAGTCACCTGCTTAAGCGTCCGCGTTCGTTTAACCGCGTACAGTTAAGTGACCGCGGTTACTTAAGGCGTGCACTTCTGTACGCGACGCCGCGTTTCGCTCGCAGCTTCGCGTCGACGAGCAAGTCCCAACCTACCGGTTCCTCAGCAACGCCGCGCAGACCAGAAGTAGAAGCACATGGAACGACAATCGGGGAATGGAGGGGCCAGTTGAGGCGAGCGCGTAAGCGTAGGACGAGTAACAATCCTTGTAGGACTCGATGTTCAGGCGAGTCACGGTGCAGTAGTGGTGCAGGACGCACGCTCCGTTCAGAGGACCTCCGCAGCCCCAAATCTGCTCGATCTCGCGGGGCAACGATACCGTATTGGCTGCGTAGTATCTGTAACATTGTGCAAAATTAGGTTATTATATTATTTATTAAATAATTGATGGAAGTTTAAATCGTGCGATGTGTAGGGACGGAGTGCCCTAGTTCATACGTGATGTTTCTACCTTGGCTTCTTTTATTTAGTTATCAAGGGTAGGATTCGTTGTTAGATATATAGATCTATAATTTCCTGTATCATTCTACTGATCCCCGGATTATTAGATCTACAGATCCTAGGATACAATAGCAGATCTTTAGCTTTGTAGATCATATGTAGATATTTGATCATATGTGCTATGTTATATGTGATCCACATATGTGTATACTCAGACTGTGAATATTCAGATTCACATATTCTCAGATTCCTACACTTGCAAATCCCTATAACCTTGTATCTCCACATCCCTATATCCCCACAACTCTGTATCCCCACATCCCTGTGCCCCACATCCCTGCATCACCACATCCCTATATCCCCACATCCATATACCTCCACATCTCTATATCCCCACATCCATATACCTTCACAGCCCTATATCCTCACATCACTATATCCCCACTCCTACATCCCCACATCTCTACATCCCCAGATCCCTATACCCTCACATCCCTTTATCCCCACATCTCTACATCCCCATATCCTTATGTCTCCACATCCATATATCCCCACATCCGTACATCCCCACATCCCTATAACCCTAGAGCCCTATATCCCAATCTCCACAGACATCCCCATATTTCCAAAATTCCTAAGTCCCTACATCCCCAAATTTCTGCACATCTATAGCCCTGCGTGATGACATTAAACCCCAACGAAATGATGACTCAGGCAAATAGACATATTTCTCTTCTAAATTATTATTCTATTACTATATTCTATACTATTTCTTCTTCGTATTTAATTTCAAATAAATTTCAACTTGCAATTCAATTAAATTACCTCGTCGATCAAGTTTATCAATAATCATCAATTTTGTGAAACACACAAATTATTGCAATGTGACATCAGATACCAAAAACGTTCATCCAAAGTTACTAATTCGGAACATATTTACTCTGCCAGATTTTCACGAGTCATATTAATTACTGACCTATTTCAATCATTCCACCAACGTGTTCTCAACGTTCCGCACAAATTTTCAATCAAATACTATGGTTTCACACTGATACTGTATCAAGTTTCGAACGTTGGAAACAAATTACCCGGTGATCACAGTAAACCTCAGACCGCAATCACTACGGTAAACGTCATAACAAATTCGCAAATGCATTAAAACTCGCTTGCAAATGTACCGGACTCGACAGTTCTCTTAATAGACAAAATCAATGAAAATAGAAAGAGTAAGGTCAATGATTCTGTAATTAAGAGATTTTTAAATACTAAGTTTCTCAAAGTTTTACTAATCCCAAATTTTTCAATTCCAAAATTTTCCAATTCCAAAGTTTTCCAATTCCAAAGTTTTCCTAATCCCAAATTTTCCAATTCCAAAATTTTTCAAATCCCAAATTTTCCAATTCCAAAATTTTCCAAATCCCAAATGTTCAAATCCCAAATTTTCCAATTCCAAAATTTTCCAAATCCTAAATTTTCAAATCTCAAATTTTCCAATCCCAAAATTTCCCAAATCCCACATTTTCCAATATCAACGCTTTCCTAATCCCACATTTTCCAATTCCAAAATTTTCCAAATCCCAAATTTTCCAAATCCCAAATTTTCAAATTCCAAATTTTCCAATTCCAAAATTTTGCAAATCCCAAATTTTCCAGTTCCAAAATTCTCGAAATCCCAAATTTTCCAGTTCCAAAATTCTCGAAATCCCAAATTTGACAAATGCCAAATTTTCTAAATCCCAAATTTCACTAAAATAACTAAGAAACCTATTACTAAGATGAATTAATAAAATATGAATTAACGAGCCAAAAAGTTAAATTGTCGGTCACGAAGCATCAGAAAGAGCACGGAAAGGACAGTTAGAAAAGTCGAAGCATATATCAATCTAACGTTTCATTTTCCAAGACAAAGCGTTCGAAGTCAATACCGCAAAGGGAGATGATCGATGAGGCCAGTTTGCGATACGATCACGGTCACGTTCCCCCATAGATTGGAAAAATTTGTCGGGTCCCCGTAATCCATTTACCCACCTGATGAAAGCGTAATCATTGGATTGCGTGAATCGGTCGGCCAAGTCGTGAAGAGTGATCGCCGTTATTTCCTGAAGATCGTAGTACTCGAGCATAGAGTATTCGACCAACCAGTTCGCCTCCCCTTTTGAATTCGCTTCCGGCAGATTAAGATAGTACTGCGTATAATCCAACACCTGAATGCGACAGAACAGTAGAGAAATCCTGTGTGTACATGGATATGTATGTGTACGTAGAGCTCTTTCAATCGTGAACGTCACGTCGCATAAATAAACCAACCCGCAGAAGGATGGAGATTATGGACAGCCAGTGATGGGGATGGCAATTCGCTTTCAATCGATTCAAATATGCAAACTATTGCGTTTCGGTATTCTAGTATCAGTTTATTAATGGAAATATCGCGTGTGGTGGAGTGGAATTGGGGGGCGAGATTTGGGGAGAGGATGGGGGGGTTTGGGGGTATTGGGGTGGGAGGAGAAGAAGAGGTTTGAGGGTGAATAGTTGAAATTTGGGGAATTTTTTAATTTTGGAAGTTAGGGGTGAAGGAATGTGGGAATTTGGGAGTATAAGAAGTTGGTGATGTAGAATAAATGGTAATTTGGGAATATAAGATGCTGGGAATTTAGGAACTTGGGTATATAGAAATTTGCGACTTTGGAATTTAAGGAATTCAGAAATTTGTAAATTTAGAAAATTAGGAAATTAGAAAATCAAGGAATTAGCATATCAAGAAATTAGGAAATCAGGGAATTAGGAAATCAGTGAATTAGCAAATCAAGGAATTAGGAAATCAGGGAATTAAGAAATCAGTGAATTAGCAAATCAAGGAATCAGGGAATTAAGAAATCTGTGAATTAGGAAATCAAGGAATTAAGAAATCTGGAAATTAGGAAACCAGGGAATTAGGAAATCAGGGAATTCGCAAATCAAGAAATTAGGAAATCAGGGAATTAGGAAATCAGTGAATTAGCAAATCAAGGAATTAGGAAATCAGGGAATTAAGAAATCTGGGAATTAGGAAATCATGAAATTAGCAAATCAAGGAATTAGGAAATCAGGGAATTAAGAAATCTGGGAATTAGGAAATCATGAAATTAGCAAATCAAGGAATTAGGAAATCAGGGAATTAAGAAATCTGGGAATTAGGAAATCATGAAATTAGCAAATCAAGGAATTAGGAAATCAGGGAATTAAGAAATCTGGGAATTAGGAAATCATGAAATTAGCAAATCAAGGAATTAGGAAATCAGGGAATTAGGAAATCAGTGAATTAGCAAATCAAGGAATTAGGAAATCAGGGAATTAGGAAATCAGTGAATTAGCAAATCAAGGAATTAGGAAATCAGGGAATTAGGAAATCAGTGAATTAGCAAATCAAGGAATTAGGAAATCAGGGAATTAGGAAATCAGTGAATTAGCAAATCAAGGAATTAGGAAATCAGGGAATTAGGAAATCAGTGAATTAGCAAATCAAGGAATTAGGAAATCATGAGGGTGAATAGTTGAAATTTGGGGAATTTTTTAATTTTGGAAGTTAGGGGTGAAGGAATGTGGGAATTTGGGAGTATAAGAAGTTGGTGATGTAGAATAAATGGTAATTTGGGAATATAAGATGCTGGGAATTTAGGAACTTGGGTATATAGAAATTTGCGACTTTGGAATTTAAGGAATTCAGAAATTTGTAAATTTAGAAAATTAGGAAATTAGAAAATCAAGGAATTAGCATATCAAGAAATTAGGAAATCAGGGAATTAGGAAAGCAAGGAATTAGGAAATTAGGAAATCAGCGAATAAGCAAATCAAGGAATTAGGAAAGCAAGGAATTAGGAAAGCAAGGAATTAGGAAATCAGGGAATTAAGAAATCAGTGAATTAGCAAATCAAGGAATCAGGGAATTAAGAAATCTGTGAATTAGGAAATCAAGGAATTAAGAAATCTGGAAATTAGGAAACCAGGGAATTAGGAAATCAGGGAATTCGCAAATCAAGAAATTAGGAAATCAGGGAATTAAGAAATCTGGGAATTAGGAAATCAGGGAATTAGCAAATCAAGGAATTAGGAAATCAGGGAATTAAGAAATCTGGGAATTAGGAAATCATGAAATTAGCAAATCAAGGAATTAGGAAATCAGGGAATTAGGAAATCAGTGAATTAGCAAATCAAGGAATTAGGAAATCAGGGAATTAAGAAATCTGGGAATTAGGAAATCATGAAATTCGCAAATCAAGAAATTAGGAAATCAGGGAATTAGGGAATCAGGTAATTAGTAAATCAACGAATTAGCAAATCAGGGAATTCGTAAATCAAGGAATTAGGAAATCAGGAAATTAGGAAATCAAGGAATTAGGAAATCACAGAAGTAGTAAACCAAGGAATTAGAAAATCAGGGAATTAGGAAATCAGGGAGTTAGGAAATTAGGAAATCAGGAAATTAGCTTATTGGGAATATTGGAATTTTTGCATTCTTCCCCAAATGACATCCCTAATTCCAATTTTTAAATTTGAAAAATTACTAAATTCCTAAATGACTAAATTCAAAAATCACCAAATCGAAAAGTTCCAAATAAGCAAATACTTTAATTTCGAACCTAACCAGACCAAGCTTCCGAAACGTTCAGCAACTTGTTACTTAGAATCATTATGCAAGTAACTGAGAACTACTTGAATTTGAATTACTTGCATAACTTGTAACCGAGTATACCAAAGACCCATCACTATGGACGCCGCGTGTAGCTGCTTTTCAACATACCTGACCGGTATTAGTTTCAAACTTGTACAGTCTCAAACCTGGATTGTTGGGTCCTCCAGGAGTGCGCGGCGATATACTAGGTGCCATCATTATCCAAGATACTGGAGAACCTGTTAACACAAATATCATTTCATTATTACATTTTTGAAAAAAGTTCATTTTAGAGTACTCTTACAAACTTCATAGATTTGTTTTGGAATGTGTAAATGTATTAAGGAATCTCTTTTTTTAACTGCATATAGTATGAATACATTACGAGACACCTGATTGGATCACAATTTACCTATTACTGTTATGGATCACTTCATGGTTTTACTTTGACTGCCATAAAGGTCGAAGCAACTTCATCAACATTCGCTTGTACGAGTCAAGGATACATTTAACGCATCGTGTGCTCATATGTGTGTTTTCTAGCGTACTAGTGCTAGTATCTAGTGTGTTCTACCAATTTTATCATTTTAATTCATTTATAGAGTGGTCACTGGAATTGTGTGTTATGATACTTTTGCAAGTATTTCAGTGAATTTTATAATGTACTTAACCATGTGTTGTCACATTCTGAAAAGTGTTTTAGCAAATTTTATATTGTGATTACCAATGCATGCTATGTATTTTTGCAAATTATTTAATGTAATTTACTGTGACCTATGTGTTAACCTGTGACCTACTGTGACATATTTTAACAAGTACTTCACTGTGACTTACGATGTGTTTATCTCTCTGTTCTGACATATTCTCCTAAATGTTCCAGCGTATTTTACGTAATTACTGCACACTTTTGCAAGCGCTTTACCTCTGTACTTTAATACACTTCCTCAAATATTTCACCTTCCTGCACCGTGTACGTGTTTGCAAATTCGTTATCGGATTCTCTATGTCCACACAGTCCCGCATGCATATCTTTGTACAACGTGTATTTGCAAAGTCATAAAAACTTGTTTACTGCATGTTTGCACGAATAACGTTGCTCGAAATACGAATCGATACAGTTTATTAATGTTTGTGATGCTTTCATGTTTTCAGAAGGTCACCTTACTATGATTCTGGACCTAGCGTCATGTTGAACCAATCGTCATCTCGAAGGAAAATAATTTTGTGCAATTTCGATGGCAGCAAAATGCTGAGTCACATAATTTACCTCTGGATACAATTTATGTAATTTATGTAAAAGGTCATTCAACGCCAAATCGATCAATTTTGTACGTAACCATCTACGATTTTGCTCTAATTAAAATATGTTGTAGTTCATGTGAAATTAGGGGGAGTTTAAGTCATCATTTTGCTGGTTTCGAATTTATTAAAAAAAAACAAGTTTGAAATTTTTGCCCATTTTTGCGAAAATAGGTTTCACTCACGAATTTTTTTCTCGGAAACTACTCAACCGATTTAGCTAAATTCTTTTTTGTTTTATTCTTGAAGGATTGGGCTATTTTAAAATATTTTTTTTAATTCTGTCAATTCGTTATGAAATGTCGGGGTACCACCATTTTAGGTAGGCGAGTTGCGCGCGCAGCTTGCTTTGGGTCCAGCTGCGCGCGCAACCCAAAGCAAGCTGCGCTCACAACTCGCCTACCTGAAATGGTGGTACCCCGACATTTCATAACTAACCGCGCTTTAAATAGTTATCATTTTCCGATTATTTCGTATCTTCGTCATTAATTTACTTTGAAATTAACTTGACGATCTACTTTGATTCATACGGGTTTTAAGGTAACAAGTGAAACGAGTGAAATAGGATTGGGTCATTTCAGAAATTAGGGAGGGTTTAAGTCATCATTTTGCAGGTTCCGAATTGGTTAAGAAATAACAAGCCTTCAAAGTTTGCAATTTTTGCCCATTTTTGCGAAAATAGGTTTCATTCACGAATTTTTTTCTCGGAAACTACTCAACCGATATAGCTAAATTCTTTTTTGTTTTATTCACGAAGGATTGGGCTATTTTGAAATATTTTTTTTAATTCTGTCAATTTGTTATGAAATGTCGGGGTACCACCATTTTAGGTAGGCGAGTTGCGAGCGCAGCTTGCTTTGGGTTGCGCGCGCAGCTGGACCCAAAGCAAGCTGCGCGCGCAACTCGCCTACCTAAAATGGCGGTATGTGTTTGTGATGTCCAAAAATGATCGATTTGGCGTGGAATGACCCAATTATAGTTCACATTAATATTATAAATTTTATTGCAAATATTGTTCAATTTGTTGGAGAAAATTTAAACGATAATACAGGGTGTCTCATAATTAGTGTTACTCCCTGAAAGGGGTGGTAGATGTCATTCTGAACAAGATTGATTCGTATATGAAAAAACATGTTACATACTGAATTCCAATGTTATACTAAAGGTACCATTATAAAAATCTATACATGTACAGGGTGTTTCATATTTTGCACCGCAAAAAGATGTCAGAATATTCAGTTATTAAATGTAAGAAAAGAGTGTAAGAGTTTTATTATTTCCGTTCCTGTAAATTATGCAATTTGAGTAATTTTATTATATATCGATAAATTAAATAATGTGTCATTTAAGTGGATCCCCTCGAGCGCCATTTTCCCCATGAAAGATCAACACAGTTCCATCGAAAGACTCGTAATAAAATATTCTCTGAAGCTACGATGCGTTATTTACGTGAACGTTATTAATTTTAGAACACGTAGACAAATTAATCGTTCCATTTCTCTTTCCAGCCATATTTCATTGACGTCCACGTTGCCGACATAATGTCGAAGTGGCACGGATACTCGTGTAATTATCTGCTCGGAAGTTAATGCGTTTTATAGATTTTAACGTCAACCTGTACTCGCGACATAGTTTAATGAAAGAATCGAAGCAGATGCTTTTATCCAGCTTATTTTTTCTTTTTTTAAATGAAAAGTGGAACACGTTGCAAGTTACAACGTCAAACTACTTCCACAAAAAAAATCTAGTAAACGATGCTTCTGTTAATAATTAACGCTACGTATTTGTAATTAACAAACCACCGATATTTACGTGCTTGTGCATTCAAAATGGACGCATTAACATGGAAAGTATTTGATTAAAATTTACATTTAATTGAATAAAGATGAACATCGATGCCATTAATATTTAAATCGATGATTACAGGCTTGTATGAACTCTGAAAATATTGTCACATTTTTATACTGTGCAAATAAATATTTAATGGCTTTATTTGCAATTTGGTATAAATATTTAATACTGTGTTTCGTTTTGCAATAAAATAATTTTTGTTAGAATGCTTTTAAATTTATGACATTTCATATTTTTATATAACTGCAATTGTATGCAATATTTTATTTATTTAAAAACTCTATACATTCTTCAATAACCTGTTAAATTATTTAAGTTTAAGATTTTTATAAATCCCTCAATAAAATTGTTAAGTTTAAAATTTTTCCTTCATACTTTTACTAGCAATTTTTACAAAACACATTCAAAACTTTTAGTCAAATAAATTAAATCCGAGAACGAAAAATATAACAATTTCACGTTAAATTGCAGCAAACACTTGACAAAGAATTTCACCATGCAAAATAATAAACTTGCCAGCAGTAATTTACTTAGCTCGGAATGTTCTTTCTTGTTCAAACTACATACAGTTACAGTCGTGTGTTTCTTGTGCGCCACAGAAGAGTTTCGCTCGATGTAGACGTGCAAAGAGTGGAGGTTTAAACGGTAGTGCATCGATCCAAAGAGCTTTCTACTCGATTTACCGTATTCAGCAGTTGTAAAGAAGAACAAAGACGTACCAGTATCGCTGTAGACCACACGAAAAGTGTCCGAGTGCCAATGGCCGAAGAATTGACCCCGAATTATGTCTGAATAGAGACGGATCAGTCGAAGATACTTGGTGTTGTGTCTCTCGCTGAACGCTGCGGCGCCATTTTCTCGATCGTCGACTCCGGGTGGTGTATGACCCACGATGTACACCTTTAACAATTAAAAAGGATTATAAATTTAACTGGGCAATTTTTTAAGAGTTTTTTTAAAGAATTGTTTGAAGAGATATATTATATTCGATTAATGAAAATTTGGAGTGTATGATTTTATGCAGTACAATTTTACTATGAAGATTTAGAAATTTAGACAGCTATCAATATCTGAATGTTTAAATTTAGAGAGAAGCAGTATAAGAGCCAGGAAATATATGAAAGACTATGAAACTAGAATATGCACCTAGAAATCTATTATTGAAGAATTCAGAAATATGGAAATATTTAAAGGTGTAGTAGTTTGTGAATATACTAATATATACGTTCAGAAATTTATCGGTCTAAAAATCAATGAATTCTCAAATCTACAAATTCACATATTCACATATCCATATATTCACATACTCACATATCCATATATTCACATACTCACATATCTATATATTCACATACTCACATATCCACATATTCACATATTCACGTATCCACATATCCACATATCCATATATCCACATATCCACAAATCCACAAATCCACAAATCTACATATCCACGTATCCCGACATATCCACATACCCACATACATATTCACATATCTACAAATCTACATATTGATATATCCACATGTCTACAAATCTACATATCCACATGTCCACATGTCCACATATTCACACATGTCCATACATGTTCACATATCCATACATGTCCACATATCCATACATGTCTACATAGTCACACACATCTACATATCCACATATTCGCAAATCTAGGCCCATCAATCTACCACAAACTTAATAACCCAAAATCTAATCTGCACATCTAAAAATTTGAAAAATGCGGCCACCTATCCTCCATGAAATAAATATAACAACCTTCAAATTGCAGTCATAATTACAAAATCCTGCTACCATAAACTTATACGATTTCAGGAGTCAATCTACCTTCAACCTGTTGATATTAATAATCCCATATAATTCACCCTCCTATCACGAACTCGATTCACATTCTAAGTCTCTATATCCCCTGGAACTGTTCGAATCAGCCCTCGGTAATACAGAAATCTCAAGAAAAGCAAATATCAAGCTGACGATCTGTAAACGCGAGAAATTCATGAGAACCTCGTGGAACCTGTTGAATTTTATGACGGTAAAATCGTATGTAAATCAATGGCTCGAGAGATCTATTCTTTTCTACATTAAACCCTTGAAAGAGCTTTGGTCTATTCTTCAATCTGCTGATATAATCTCGACGGTGATTTAATGTACAATTGATTTGCAGTTACACGTTTCTAAAACACTCGTACTGGGGTTACTTTTACCCTAGATTCTTATCTACTTCGTTTTTATAGCTCTCGCGATATTACATAGTAGCTTTCTTTTTATGATACGTAGAATTTTTTTGTAACAATGGCTACTTTATTTTTACAAATTATGACAGAGGTATTTTGGGTACGAACTTTTGGTGATATTGTATAAAATATTTTTATTTGTATCGATTAAAAAGTTTACAATTATTTCTATTTTTATTTCAAAGATGAAGCACTCAATAATTTTTATATGGCACGTTGGATCACATATATCACTTTTCATATGTGACACCTTACAAATTTGGTTTGACCACATACATCACTCTTCACATGTGAGAAACCTTGCAAAGTTAGTTAAATTAATTATTTGTAAGAAAATTGAGTGAACACAATTTTAATCACACACATCACTTTTCACATATGAGAAACCTTGCAAAGTTAGTTAAATTAATTCTTTGTAAGAAAATTGAGTGAACAAAATTTTGACCACGTACATCACTTTTCACATATGAGAAACCTTGCAAATCTAGTTTGACCACATGCATCATTTTTCACATATGAGAAACCTTGCAAAGTTAGTTAAATTAATTCTTTGTAAGAAAATTGAGTGAACACAATTTTGACCACGTACATCACTTTTCACATATGAGAAACCTTGCAAATCTAGTTTGACCACATGCATCATTTTTCACATATGTGAAACCTTTCAGATTTAGTTAAATTAAGTATTTGTAAGAAAATTGAGTGAACAAAATTTTGACCACATACATCACTTTTCACATATGAGAAACCTTGCAAATCTAGTTTGACCACATGCATCATTTTTCACATATGAGAAACCTTGCAAAGTTAGTTAAATTAATTCTTTGTAAGAAAATTGAGTGAACACAACTTTGATCACATACATCATTTTTCACATATGAGAAACCTTGCAAACTTAGTTAAATTACTTGAAAATTGAATGAAAAAAATTGTTAAAGAGTCCCACCTCTCCCCACATGTCCCACACATGCACTCACATCTGCTGTCACATCTAATTCAATTTTTGAATAAACTTCATTTTGCAATTTGTCCAACTACAATTTGCATAGTCAAGTTCCCTTAGCATATACTCGTAATGTAACATTTTAACTTTTCTCAGTTTTCACATTGTACAAATAATTATATCTGTGCATGAGACAACTATCCAGAAAATTGTACATTAGTGTTAATTTTCAATGTAAAAATAAATACGTAAAAAGTGTAATTCTGATAATTCTTCAAATAAAATAGTCATCGTTTAAGTATCGAAAGCGTATATAACACAAGCTGAATGACGTGGTAGGTTCATGAATTTTAACCCCAGGAAGTTGTCGCGTGACTGCGTCTCCACTAAATAGAGAAGTGGAGCGAGCATCGTGCGTGAAACGCGAGCAGTATCATGCAGTAACGAGGAACTCGCTCGTTAGCATCGGCAAATGGAATATCGTAAGTGTTATCCGGGATCGACACAGGATACGGATCCTGCAGGCGTAAGGAGGCGCGATACGACTAATCGAGCACGTTCACGAAATTAGACGCAGTCTGATCTTGCTTCGCGCTTCCTATCCGTGACGGGCTTCGGGCTTATAAACAGCCTGCTTATGCTACACTCGATACTAACAAGCGCTTCACAATTCGCGAATAAGATGGAATAGTTGGTGATTAATTTTATTTATTTGGGGAGGTGGTTTCTTTGTGCTGGGAGGAGGAGGGAGAGGATAGGGGTGGAATTTATTGACAAGTTCTTTAGGAAGGAAATATTTGTTATTTGATTCGTTTTTGAAGGACTTCTCTAAGTTTCTAAATTTCAAATTTTCAAATTCTAAATTTCCAAATTTCAAATTTTACAAAACCCAAATTTTGCAAATTCCAAATTTTACAAATTCCAAATTCGCCAAATTCCAAATTCCTCAAATTCCAAATTGCCCAAATTCCAAATTCCCCAAATTCCAAATTTCCCAAATTTCCAAATTCCAAATTGCCCAAATTCCAAATTCCCCAACTTCCAAATTTCCCAAATTCCAAATTCCCCAAATTCCAAATTTCCCAAATTTCCCAAATTCCAAATTCCCCAAATTCCAAATTTTCCAAATTCTAAATTTTCCAATTTCCAAATTTCGCAAATTCCGAATTTCCCAAATTCCAAATTCCCCAAATTCCAAATTTCCCAAATTTCCCAAATTCCAAATTCCCCAAA